CCGCGAGGGGCTGCCGCTTTACTTTCGTTTTGTGTTTGTTTATTTGATTAAAGTTTTGTTTAAGTCTTCGCCGGTTCCCGCCTCCTTCTTCCCGTGACTACGAACGTTGTTACAGTCTGCCTTGGGAAAGCTAGCGTGTCTCCGACATAGTGATAACACTCGTTGCCTTCTCTAGTGCAGCTCAACCAGGTCTCGTCCCATTCGTCGATATTTGTGATATCACAAATCCCAGAAAATAAGCATTGTAGTCCAAACGAGTCGTTCGTTGTAGTTTTTGAAAAGTGATTTCTGTTAAATAAAATATCTCCTTTTGAAGTGGACTTTGAGCTTTTTAAATTTGCAGATCTTTTTTATGCTCAAACAGCAACATTACAGACTAACTAAAGGTGAAAAAGTGAAAAAGCATAGTAGGACCCCTTTAAAATCCACTCATGATCCCATTTATTACTAATCATCTTGTTGCACGTACTCTAAAACAAACCAAAGGGACACTGAAAGAAAAAAAGTTTATTTTTAATAATATTTCTGGTGAGACTTAAATATAAAATATAATTTATAATTATATATAATTATTATGTTTAGAAATGTAGAAAATTATTGCGTTATAGAATAATACAATTTAATAGCAATGGATGTTTGAGCTTTGATGGTGATGTGAGAGTCTTTTGTGTCGACTGAATGTCATCATGCGGTCACCGTCAGCTGGGCTTCTGTAATCATTATCTCTCCAGACCAAACACACTGCTTCAATCGACTTACTCAACAAATATCTGATTACGTCACACGGGTTCATGTATGAATCACCCACACCTCATATCATATGCCTTCATTTGTTTATACAAAGTAAAATTTGTTCTATTAACATATTACACAGATCCCCACACAGTTTCTTATTCACTGCGCTCACATTCAAAAACAAGACGAGGAATGAAAGAAAAAATCCCCAAACCGAGTGAGAACAGAATGGTATTCTCAAGTGGGAAGCGGGGAATTTTGTCCTTCTATTCCCAACGGATTTCGTGTTCCTGGTCATACGGAGGCCTTTCTTACCGCTGGGTTTCACCTTGACCCCGCAGCGTTGTGTGTGTTGTAAGTGGGCAGCTGCTTGGGCTCAGCACTGTTAGAGTGTTGTGTTCACTCAGGTTTTTATACCACCTTCTCCTCTTCCACAGGGGGCAGACAATAAAGACGGGTCTTTATTGAGGAGAACAATGGTGAGGAGTTACAGCAGAAGAGACCTCCAAAGCATGTGGAGTATATGCAGAACTGCAACAGAGGTCAAGTATGCAAATCCCACTAAGTACACACTACACTGTATGTCAGAGATCAGTGTTTCTCAACTGCTTTCTCCAAATCTGCCAAAATCATACAAAAGTTAACAAAAACATTCTTATGAACAAATATTTTGCTATCATTTAAAGAAATAATTCACCTGAAAATGAAAAATGTGTGGCTGAAAATTTTCTCACACTCAGGCCATCTAAGATGTAGATGAGTTTGTTTTTTCATCAGATTTGGAGAAATTTAGCATTATATCACTTGCTCACCAGTGGATTCTCTGCAGTGAATGGGTGCCGTCAGAATGGCAGTCCACATGCTGAGTAAATTTTCAGCAAATCTTGTAATTAGTATGATTTTCCCTGCATCCCCAACTTTATTAGAACATATTTGTAACCCATTTTTGGGTTGCAACCCACCAGTTGGAAACAGCCTTTTAGATATTTTGAATTAGTGCATTTGTCAAATTTATTAAGCTTGTTAAGAAAAGAATCAATTATGGTTAAATTCTTGTAAATTCCTGGCTGTAACTATAAACATATTTGGCTGACTTTTTTTCTTCAAAAACAAAATCAAAACAAAAGCGCGCACATCACTGGAAAAACACACAAACAGGGTGCTCAACAAAAAAAATTGATCATGAAAAACTGACTTATTTTCTTGCAATTTTGACTTTACATTTCACAATTTTTTCACAATTAAGACTTTTCCTCACAATTGCAAGTTTTATATCACGTAATTCTGACTTTTTTCTTAAAATTGCGAACTGAGAGATATGAACTCAGAATTACAAGAAAAAAAAATCAAAATTGTGCGATAAAATGTTGCAAATACCTTTTACATTTTTTTTTATCCCATGCCAGAAATGGGCTTCCATAATATTCAGATAAACTCCAGTTTTTCATTATTTTTGCTCAGATTCTATAAATCTTTACCTTTTTTTACCTGCAAACTTCATGTACTTTATCTCATTTCTAAGATTGTTTCTGTCACCGAATAAAAAAACAAATTATTACTTTATCTCATTTTTCCCCCTTACATTCTGAGTTTATATTGCAATTACAAAATTTTCTCAGAATACAAAGAAAAAGTCAGAATTTTTAGAAAAAAAATTAGATAAAAGTCATAATTACCTTTTTTATTTTTTCATCCTGTGGAAGAAACAAGCTTCCAAACTAAACTGTACAAAACTCTTTAACTCTAACATTAACTGAATGAATAATTTACAGTATGCAAAAATAAATGATAATGTCGATCATTCATAAAAAACTGTTGGGAATCTCTCAACTATGTTACTACAAAAATCAAAGGAAAAGGAAATGACGAAACATTTTCATATTTTGTAATATTTGTATTTTGTTTCATCATCACAAAATGGGTACATGGGGAGGAACAAGCCTTTCAAAAGAACCTGAGGTATTTTGCTTCAAGCAGCCTAAGGTATCAAGATTTTCTCTTTAAAAAAACCCTATATCAATTAGTTTTGTTGATACAATGCCTATTCACACAACATATAATAATAATAATAATAATAATAATAATAATTAGTTGCCAACTATTTAACAATTTCAGAAAAAAAGGACAGCCTGCATCTTTTTATTACATGTTTTAAATAATAACAAAGTCTTTAAAAATATAGTACAGAGAAGGTAAAGGAAATACAGGTAAAGTCTTACACAAGGAAAAAAAATACAGCAGCACAAATACAAGATTTGCCATACAGAAAAGCTAACTGAAAAAAATACAGACATAAATAAATTGCTGAACTATCTCCCATGGAGAGGGCAATCCCATTCACATTTGCACACGCACACCCTTTCTGTGTTATATTTAACCTTTGGAGCATTCTAGAGATTCTGAGAGACACAGAGAGGATGAAGGGAAAAGGTGAGTGAAGAAGAGAAAGAGGAGAAAATAAATTGGTGCTGAAGAGAGCAAGTGAAGCAAAGGGACAGAAAAAGAGAAAGCTCAGAGCTCAGACATGTAGCGGACTCATTAAAAGCTCCCCTGAGAAGAAAGCATGCAGAATGTATTTTCACCATAGTGCAGATTCTGTTCTTATCAGTTACTGGTCTTTCACATAAAGTTTATGATCCAATAGAAACTAGCGGTTCAGCAGACTTAACTCTGTCAGACCATAAGCTAGGTTTAAATGCATCCTGTTGTGTATACTTTTTTTTTGCCAATGAAAAGGTTAGGGGTTTATCTCTTCTCCAAGACGCCAGTCTATATGAGCATCTGCAAAGGGTCCATCTGTCAGTCATTCACAACATCCATCCACACATCCTCCCACAATCAGACCCAAACAAACAATAAATAATGTCATAAATATGCAGAACAACTGGGGGACACAGACAAACCCCTTTAGAGTCCCTGTCATTTTTTTCCCTTCATTTTGTCTTGTGTGCTTGTTAATACAAAAATCAAGTTCATGAAAATCAAAATGAGTCGCTATTCATTTTACAATGCTGGAGTATCATACATATTCTTCTAGATTTCTCTAGATTATTCATGCTGGATTAACGTCTTTAATAATTCAAGCCAGCAGGCTGGAGAGACAAACAAAAGCCATACCAAATGCTTTAGTTTGTGACACACCGCAGGACATCAATGATTACACATGATTTTTTGTAAAGCGTTGTGGTACCCTTTTAATGAGAACATCTAAAAACGTCCCTCTTAAAGCAACAGAAAGTGCATTTAAACATCAGATAATTCCTGCTAATAACCGCACTCCCTTATAAAGAAAAAGGAGGACAAAAAAAGAAGTAAAAACACATATTGCTTGTAGTTGCGTATCGGTTTTGTGAGTGTATTTTTGTAAATCACTTTAAAAAGAGAGATCAACACTGAAAAAGAGGAAAAATAAAAACTCCACAATCTTTATATTATTTCTCATTACCAGAATGAACCAGTAGAATAAATTAAAACCGTAACTAAGAAAATGACAAAAAAAAAAAAAAAAACTAGACGTCCATTGAAATCACTGTGTATAGTTCATATACTATTTGTTTATAATTAAAACAGCAGCCTTGACGCATGCTTAGTGAGAGGAACGTGGGTTGCACAACAGTTCGAGCATCACCACTTGGGCACAGGAGGGGAAGGACTAGACCCTGAAATCTGGGTAACAAAAGAGTGACCGAGAACATTATGGGAAAGAGTCCACAATGCATTTCCTTCATGACATGCCTGATTCCTCCTCCGGGATTCCATGAATGCTGGGATACAGGAGCAGGGTGGACAAGAGCACTGCACAAAGAGGCCTTCATTCAGCCAGTGTGCATGTACCACCAAGGCTTAGTCTGTGCTGACTCCTTGTGCTGTGTAACTTCACTGAGTCCACTAACTTCACAGCCATGCTTGATTCTCAATACACCAAAAGGCTGGTAAAGCTTTTATGAGGAATGGGGGGGGGGGGGGGGGG